TATATATATATATATATATATATATATATATATATATATATATATATATTCCCATATTAAGTACCTATGAATTATAATCTATTTTATATGGATATACCTAAGCATATGTATCTTATTTTTTTAAATTTACCTAAGTTGAAATTCAAATTGTGATAATAAAAATAAATAACAATATGTTAAAATCATTGAGATTAAGCAAGTCAAATTGGACGGGTCATGACCTAACACATATTTAGCCCATTTGAGCCTAAAGTAATTGGTCGGGTCATGAACTAATCTGATTTTTATTTCAACCCATTTTGATATCCCCAATTTAACCTAATCCACCCTTTTTGTGTGTAGCCCGCTGTAGCAGTCGCACTATAACGATCTGGTTCCTGCTATAATGGCCTCAACTTTTTAGCACGGATAGTCTTTGGTAAAGTCACAATTTTTTAGTTCGGACATCAAATGAAGCAAATTTGTTGGTGTTGAAAATAAGACTCATATGTGGACCTTTAATTTGATAGTTGATGGAACACCTAATTCATTATAGGCTGAGAGATATGGTCGTTTGAAATTTACCTTAGTTTAAACTTAAGTCCGAAACTAATCAGTAAGACACTTTCAACTTAACTTTGTGATAAGGGGCATTGTACGACCTTCATTAATAACTAAGTAATGCACTTCCATATCAAGGAAATGATCCTAACCCTGTGACAAATAAGATTCGTATTACTGTAGATATTTCCAAGAACGACAGAATAGGTAGTTACATTAACAAAACAATATATATATATTGGTGAGGAAATAGTATATACTTGAAGGTTTGTTTTGCTTCATAAATATTGAGTAGGTGTTTTGTCCAAAAGGGACCTGTTATGAAACAAACATAAAAATTCGTTAAGAATGAAACAACACCTACAATGCTCAAAGAAAACTAGGAAAATAAGAAGTATTTTTGTGAGATAAACCACTCACATGTCACTATCACATAAAATGAGAAGACCAAAAAAAAAATATGTTTTTGGGATAAAATATATCATTTAATCGATGGATAAGGCTTTGACATAGAATATCAAACGATAAAACTGTAGTAGTGTACTGACAATCTATTCTACAGATAAATGTTACAAGGCATATGAAAAGGCTGATAACCTATGTACTTTTACTGAATGGTTTTAAAAAGAATCATAATTAAAGCTCAATTGATTGTGGAAGAAGAAAATGATCCGGTTTAGTAGAACATCTTTTTGGATAGAAGGTAAAGTAGTCAATAAACTTTTGATGTGAATTATTATACTTTGACTTTTGATTTTGTGGCTTCTAATAATATGACCTTTACTATTTTATAAATTTTATATAAATCTAACTCTAGTTGATCATAAGGTACGTGGTACCTTTGTTTTGTTGTGTCCTACCACCATTTGGCTCATTTAGTCCAAAAGATGCATTATTAAACTTGGCAAATTTAAAACTATCCTAGATTGTCAACAGGTCGCAAATTAGGTGCCAGAGAAAACATAGTCTAATTCCTTAGTACAAGAGACACATTTTTCACTTAGTTCCTTCAGTAGAGTAACTGATCACTCCTTACCCTCTTCCACAAGAGACTCAATGTCACTATCCACGGAAGCCAGTGCACACTGAGAAGTGCTTCCATTTGATGTATCCCCTGCATATCATTGTTTCCTGTTGGCGGTGGAGACACAAAGTAACCATGGTGATGAGCTATTTGGTGCTTCAACAACAAAGGCTCCCCTCTCAGGGATTCACTCTCACCACCATCAAACTCACGATATTGATTCAAGTACAAAGTCAATGGTTCAATGAAGTCATCAAAACCAACCTTGCTCATGGCCCAAAGAATGTCTTTATGGGTGACGGTCTTGCGCTGCTCACTCTGGCAACGATTGTTGGCTTCCAATGTTATCAAGCTTATGAACTCAGAGACACATTCTTGTATGGTCTGTTTGGAGTCATTGGATATTTTGGCATGCGAAGGAAGGATCCTGCGCATGATTTTGACCATGTTTGCTATTGGCATGAATTGGTCTTGCTCCAGAGTGATGCATTCAGTAATTGCCTGGTTGACATGAGAAGACATTCCCGTGCTTCTCTCCATATCTTAGTTCCACACAACAACATCAGAGTGAAAACAAAAAGAAGTGTAGCATATATATATATATATATATATATATATATATATATATATATATATATATATATATATATACT